GGTGGTATTTATTATCTCTTTAATTTGATGAAACGTACAAGTAGTAGTAGTGGCGGGAAAAAAGAGAGGCTAAAGGTGGAAAATGGAGGATCGTGTTTGGCTTCTTCTGCCATGTGACAAAAACTTTAAAATATCTACAGACAAAATTGTGGTGGTGGTCACGTGAAAACCATAACAAGTGTGATATACTTTTGTGAGATTCGTGCGGATTTTCTCTTCTTATTAATGTATTCATTGTATTATAATCCCTTATATTATAATACACTATATAACTAAATTAGGTGGTAGACGGAAAATAATTAGGCGGCGACAAGTAATGAATTAATTAAGCAAATTGATTACGTCTAGTTACATACTATTAGATTAGAGTTTTATTTTTCTAAGCATTACCGCTTATAAGTAACGACACACCTTCACTAGCACATTTTTTCAAAGATAATCACCAACCATGATTTCATTTATTTTCTCCAATTGTCACCATCAGTGACAGATTTTAAAACCGAATCGAGTTACACGATCGAAATTTGCCTATCTAGATCTCAAGTTGAGAAGAAACTAACACTGCTTTCTAGTTAGTCAACACTCTTTAACATATTCAGAAAATCATATATATGTGACTCACAAATGACATAGCAGAGAAACCATGAAATGAATAAAAGCAGAGCATACAAATCCTAAACATTGTTTCTAAGTTTGTCACATCATTCTTCAAGCCTCTCATCTCAAATTCAAACTCGATTTAACACAAACTAATTTTTAGTATAAAAAAAAAACACCAAATAGAGAAAACTTACAATGAAAATTAAACTAACGGTGTATTCTCAGAATAACCAGAAACAACAAGAAAAAGTAGGTGAAGCTGATATAAGATTTCACCACCACAAAAGAAGATACTTGTTTTGCCAGCAAATTCATTCTAACTCAAGCAACTACGCGATTCCTGATCTGCGTAGCTCTGCTTCGCCGTGTGCAAAGTGACATCTATCACCAAATGTACAGTTTCCTTTTGCGAATCTCTCACAGATCTTCGTCTTGAAGTTGCTTCCTGGATGTGGTTTCCCTTCAGAACCCAT